ACACACACACACACACACACAAACCCGTACCTGTCTTTGAAGAAGCGTCGAAATCCAAAGGCGATGAGTTTTAGTACAGCCTCCAACACAAACATGGAGGTGAAGAAATAGTTGCAGTACTTCAGGGCGAGATCCAAAGACTGAAAAAAAGAAAAAAAAAAAAAAAAAACACAAGTCTGTGTGTAAATGTGTGTGTGTCTAACTGTGCTATCAGCAAACTGGAATGGTTCCAGTTGTTTCTGGAGTGAAATCAAAAGTGCTACAGGCCAAAGCAGAGCATTCGCCTTTCACATCAACAGAGACGCACATTAAGTCCCTCTAACAAATACACACTTCAGAGGTGAGTGTTCTCACATCGGAGCAGCGAGCACGCTGTAATTGCTTAAAAAACCTGACCTGGGATCCTGTTTCTTGCTGAGGATACAGTATATTATCAGGTGTGGTGTGTTCTAAGAAGTGGGACGCTGCCAAATGTCAGGCCCAACAACTGACAAATACAGCTAAGACCTGTGATATTTATCTGATGCTTGGTCAGTTTGAGCAGACCTGCGCCATTTTGAAGGTCAAACGGGTGTCTTATCTCAAGATAATCACTTTTCTCTCCCTCGGCAAAGTGCTGCCAGGTTTCTGAATCTGCTTGCTGCACAGAAATGGACTGAGACACACATCGTACACCTGACACTACTTTAACAGCAGCCACGTCAAAAAAAAAGAAAAATAAAGAAAAGCTGCAGCGTAATCACTGCTCTCTGTCTGGAGCCGGGACACAGTGTCAGTGGTGACTCATCAGAGGTATTAAGAGAAAAAAGGTGGTGAAGATTCTTTATGAAAAGACACTTAACCTGTTTGCTCAGGCAGATAATAAATGTAAACAGAGCTTCAGCTGTTTAATTAAGATTCACTTCACCTCTACGCTTCCCACACATTTATCAAGTTCAGGTCTTTGCACCAACAGGTAATGATTTCTGAGGGGTTTCTCTGCAGCTGGAGGAGTTTTTTGTTTTGTGGGCGGAGTTTGTCTTAATCGTGATTGGCAGAGTTCTACAGTGTGGGCAGAGTTTGTCCTAACCGTGATTGGCAGAGCTTTCGGTGTGTGTAGAATTTGTTCAAAACGTGGTTGGAAGAGTGTGGAATAAAGGCCAAGGTTCTTGGGTGGGCAGAGTTTGGCAAAACTATGGGTCAGATTGACTTGTCTTGTGGGGGATGTAAAAAGATGAAGTAACAGTAAAGTTAACGTGAACATGTAAATCTGATTTATTGACTTCAAATTTCTGTTCTCCCTGTCTGGATTTATGACTAATATTAATACTTATATTCAAAAAATGATGATCTATTCCCAGGTGGTTAGGACTGTTCTGACTGCGATGAATTGTTGCACATCCCTCCACATGGCATTCAGATTTCGAGTCATGACTAAAATTAATATTTATATTTAAAGTTATAAGTTTTTTCTAGTCATTTTGACCAAGTTACACGCCCCCAACTGCACAGCGTTCATCCAACCCAAAATACTCAATTCGACCAAAAAGTCTTGGACAAACTCCTCCCACACAACAAGAATCTCCCACTTAGTGACTGCAGAGACCCCCATTCTCATGATTTCTCCTTACGTGAGGTTGATTGTAGTGCTCCAGGGACATGGTGATCACATTGATGCAGATGATGAAGGTTATAATGAGGTCCAGGTAGTGGTTTGTGCAGAGTGTGTGGATCATCAGGCGCATGTTGCCATAGCTGGAGTAGTAAGGCAGCTTCTGAGCCTCTGTTAAAAATAGAAGTCCTCATTCACTTCAAAGTAAACATCAATCAATAACTTTCAGTTTGCTGTTAGCAAGGTCAATAAAATACCTCATGGCTTCTGGTAATTTTATTATAAGTGACTGGAAATAAAAAAACAGCTTTTTTCTGTTTTACTCTACTTATCTATATTTCCATCCCATTGCTCATTAAAAAAAGGCCAATCCAGCTTTAAGGCTTTTTCGTATTACATTTCCAGTCATCTGTCTTACTCCTCCTCTTTTTCTCCATGCGCCGTTGACGCTTCTCCTCGCGCCTCTTGGCCTCCTCCACCTCCTGGTGCTGGCGGCACTTGTGGAAGTTTTCCACCACCACCCCGACAAACATGTTCAGGACAAAGAAGCTGACGATGAGGAGGAAGGAGATGAAATACAGCAGCATCCATGGGTTGTTGTTGGTTACCGGCTAGATTTGGGGATATGCATTATAATTATTTTGAAGGGGTTTTTTTTGAATGATAATAATGTGATGAAAAAAAGAGAGGGGAGAAAAAGTTACAAGAATAGAACTGTTAAATKTTTTCTTAAGCTTAAGGATAAGATCTATTCATGTGAAAACTATTATTATTTTTTATTTCTTAGCAAATACCTGTTGGTCCACACCCACTGCATCCAAGCCATGGTACATGATGTTGACCCATCCATCTTTGGAGGCGAGGACAAACAGGGACATCAGGGCCTGAATGAAAATGGTTGGATAGGAGATGTTACTTAGTGTAGATAAAAGCTGATAAAAAAAATGCATGACATGTCTAGTGTGTAAAACCAAGTCTGCACGACCCTGACCTGTCCCAAGTTGTCAAAGTTGTACTTATGATGGACCCACTTGTAGTTGGCTCGCAGACAGTCAGACTTGTTGGTGATGTTTTTAACATCAGGGCCGAGGCAGTAAAAAAATTTGCCTTTAAATAACTGTCAACAACAAAAAAAAGCAAAGCTTTTGATGTCATCTTATTTATACAAGACAGACAAATGTGTCATTTTAAGAAAAAAATATGACAACTGGAAATTATATGAGGTGATGTAAAACTGAGAAAAAGCACTTTTCTGTGTTTTGCCTTTGTTTTCTACAAGGAACTAAGATATGTGACAGTAGAAAAACATAACCTGACAGTATAACCTTGTTTGTGATACTCTGGCTAAGAATGATCCTCAGCACCAGGTTGTCTTTGATTAGAKGGGATGTTGAAAGATTAATATCTTCCAGCTACATGTCTAAAACAAAAAAGTGACTATGCAAAAGTGTGATTATTTAAAAAAAATGCAGTGTTCAAAACTTTTTTGGAAGCAAACCGTTAAGACTTTAACAATGTGCTTCAAAAATGAGAGTTTGCTTAAAGAAAGCCACGCCCACCTGAACTCCGAGGATCCCAAAGATGATGAAGAACGCACAGCAGATCAGGACAATGTTGCCAATAGGTTTTAGAGACGTAATGAGAGTCTCCACCACCAGCTTCAGCCCTGGAGCTCTGCTTATTACTCTAAAGAGATGAGAAAAAAAATTATAATATAGAAAAAATCAGATAGAGACAACAAAGTAAAATACTTTTCTATAATGCCTATTTTCCATGTGAACACAATGCTTGGATTGATGCATATCATTGTTCTATTGTAACAGCTTTCAAATTGCACTGATTAGATGAAGAATTGTTCACGAGGGAAAACATAGCTATTAAGGAAAATGCAATTATTCAATCAGGTTGAAATTTTCCGCTTGCTGCTGCAATTATTGAATAAATGGATAAATAAACAAATGCTGAATGCAATTCAGTACAGAGCCTTGCACTGCATTTATAATTATATCATTTACACTTTATAATTTGTAAAGATCAAAGTGTAGATGGAAAAACAGGATGAGGTGGTTACTCAGAGGAAAGTTAGACTGAATAAATAAACAAATTGTGACTTTTAAACACTCTCTGATGACTAAAAGTTTAGTTAGATGGTTAATCATCTTTGACTGCAATAATACTAAGTCCTGGATTTCATGTATGGGTGCAATTATACAGCTCATTCATCAAAGTATGTTTAAATCCATCCATCCATCCATCCATCCATCCATCCATCCATCCATCCATCCATCCATAGTTCATTTGTACACCAATAAAAAAGCTTTTCTTTTAGTTTTTATACATGTAAGCATAAATTTAAAGCTATGCATTAAAATTGCACTCGTATTGCACCAAAACACACAATAAGTGCAGATATGTCAGTGCATCCATGTTGTACCTGAGGGGTCGTAGTGTTCTGAGAAGCCGCAGAACCCGGAGCACACCCAGGATTTTTGCCCCTCCCGCCATGGACACGACAATATCAATTAAAGACACAAAAACCAAGAACCCATCCAGAACGTTCCAGCTGCTCCGTAGGTAAGCCTGTTCGCCTATATAAAAACCCATGGAAACAACCTGTGGATGAGAGAACAGCCATAAAGCATTAAATTACAACATGGACTTGAATTCAAAGAAAAGTTGTATGTTGTCTTTTTCTGACCCAACTTTTTTAAATTAAACTGTCAAATGCAACGGATACTGTTGGGAAGCGAATAAGTTTCTACTGAAAAAATAAAAAACAGGGAAGAAAAAAAACAAGCTGTAAGCAAAACTGCCACCATCAGCAATAAGACAACTAACTGTCTTAGCAACAATAGATATTCCCTACATCTAAAATCACGTTTACACATCTGGAGAGAGAAAGAGCCCAGAACAGACACAGACTTCTTTTTAACTGAATTCAGTTTGGAGTTTAATTTTGACCAGATTGCCAAACTAGTAGTTATAAACAGGATCAAAACCAAAGTGGGTTGTTGCTGTCTTAAATAACATCCTTTTTTCACATTTAAATAATTCAGTTGATTTTTAAGTGCTAAAAAGTGGATTTTACATGATATGTCCTCTTTAGAAAAACTCCAGCCCAATCATTTCATAGTAGTTTATTTAAACAATATTTGAATTTAATTGTGATAAGATGATGAGTACAAATATATACCATTCTGACACCATAATAGCTTGTACACAATCCATCACAGCTACACACCGTTAGAAAAAATGTTTAATGGGAGTTCACCTCCCAATAAAYGTCATTTAGGAAAATCTAACTGCTCACTTTTACTCAATACTTTTACTTTTATTACTTAAGTACATTTTGTGTCAGAAATTTACTTTTGATACTTAAGTACAAAAATGTCAGATACTTTAAGACTTTTACTCAAGTAATATTCTTAGAAAAGACTAACTTTTACCAAAGTAATTTTATGATAAGATACAAGTTCAAGTTTATTGCCATTTTCAGTTAAAAAAAAACTACATTGGAAAACAGTCGCAAGAGCTCACATCCTCACTTGCACACACAGAAAAATAAAAGATTATAAAATAATTTAGAAAGTTAAAAAATAAAAAAAATAAAAATTAAAAACACTGAACACAGAACCCCTCATCGGCAACAGACAAAAATTCACAGAACACATTACATTATATGCTACTTGATAAAGTTAATGTGCATTATTCAAAGCCCTCAGAGCCTGTGTGAAAAAACTATTTAAATGACAAGACGTAGTACATTTGATGGAACGGTACCGTGTCCCCGAGGGAAGAAGTACTTATATTTGTACTTTTACTCAAGTATCACTTTCAGGTACTTTATAAAACACTGGTTAGAATTAATAAGTATTTGTCCAAAGCTCATTTCAATAGTTTACTCCAATTCAAAAAATCTTTCTTGTCAATTTAAGAGATTGCATCATTATTAATAATTATAACCCCAAGCCAGCACCTTCATACTTGGCTTGTAAATAGAAAATCATGTGAAGACATTAACGTTTTCTTAAATAACCTACAGCTGGAATGGATTTTGTACCGACGCTGAAGTTTCCACGCACACAGATGGATACTGTGTCTTGCAAACAGCAGTGGGAGCATTACGCCTGCTTAGGCAAAAGTCTGCCACTGACATTTGAAGCTGTTTGCCAAATGTTCGGTAAAGCTCAAAGCGATCATGAGGGGGCGAGCAAACCTCCAATTGGTTGAAAGATCAGTGCTTGGCAAACATCAAAGGTCTGAAGGCCAAAATGTTAACGGCCCTCAGCAATAAAGAGTAAACCAAACAGGCAGCACGTTTTTCAAGTTTGCAAGTACGTCTTTGTGTCCAACGCTTCTTGCAATAGCTACATATACTGCAGAAAGAAAAAGGAAAAATTGTAATAAATATTTGCAATATTGGAACAACCAATTTCATGTTGCAAATGCAACACTGTGCCTGGAGGCGCCTCAAAGAGACGATCAGTCCTCCAACCCTGCTGTGTTGTTTGTTTATTTTGGCTGCATCTTGTACACAACTCTAAACCCGAAGATAGACTCGTGGAGAAATTAACGTTGCACAGGCAATCACATGGACACACATTATGGACACACACAAGACTCAGACGAGGGGATACATGTACTGCTCAGCCAGGGGGATGACAAAGTCTGTGGCTCCTTGATGGACTGAGACTGGTTAATAATTAATTTTAGAAGTACATAATTGATGGCCCACTTATGCCAGAGCCTTTCCCAGAGAAAACAGAGACAGTGAAGGAACCAGGGAGGGTGGGAAAGATAAAAGAGGAAAAGAATGGAAAAACAAACAGACTGGGAGTTGGAAAAGTGACTGTTGAGAACAGAGATACCCTAAAGAAGCTGACGCACAGCCTTAAAAAAAGACGAAAGAGAAAAAGAGTGTTGGCAGAGTGCTAGACTGCAGCTCTAAAACTAGACTAGCCACTAATTAGTGACATTGCCTAATTACTCTATTCTCTAAGTCTAAAGGAACTGAGAAAAAGAAAAAAAGACAGGAAGTGGATGAGTCGTGAGAAGCAAGTTCAGTTCAGAAACATACACAGTCTGGATAAGATGAGAGGAGACTGACAAACAAACAAAAAAAGAGACATCTGTGTGGGGTCTGCGCCGGGAATAATAGAGAGCCAGGTTGTAAAACGTTACCTTGAGAGTCATCTCGCCCACAAAAATGGCTGTAAAGATGTAGTTGGAGATGGTGAGAAAGACTCGTTCCTGTACGAACAGAATGGAAATGAAGAGAGGGTTGAGCGTCGGAAGCACAAAATGTGCCAATATGGGCTTTTAAAACCTTTACTGCACCTTTTAGGTAATAAGACTAAATGTAGCCTCAGAGAAAAGTGTTATGGGCACGAAAACTCACAGAAAGACAGGCATTTTAGGTGGATTTACCAGGCTGCCCTGCAGGATCTTGGGCCTCTCCAGAGCAACAGTGATGCAGTTGGAGAAGATGAAGACCAAAACCACATAATCAAACAGCTTATGGGCAATGATGGACTGGCACATCAGTCTGAACCTGGCAGGAGTGGGAAAAATGAATAGAAACACATGGATAGTGACTAGTGTATTGTGTCTAATCATAATCAAATTGTTGTATCCTATAGCTTATTGTATCATATTGCATCATTTCACATCACATTGTATCTATTGTGCAGTATTGCATTGCATCACATCATACAATATGATACTAATACAATTGTTATTGACCTAAGTAAGAGGGCCAAGGAGGGGTACACTGTGCTTAAATACAACATCTTTCTATTCTAAATGGGAGCCATCTCCCCTGATTTTTGGGTGGGAGTTTCCTTACTTTTCAGACAGTAAAGTGTCACCAGTCATTGCTTACATTTCTTCTAATTCAAATCAAATTACATGAAAAACACTCATACGCCTCGTGTGCCATGCTGTGCTGGGAGAACAGAATAGAGGGGAAACAAAGGAAGGAAGGGCTGATGGCACAAAGACATGGGACATCCAGAATAAAGAGTGAATATACGTTAGAAAGGAAAAAGAATACAAAAACAAAAATAGGCATATGATGGTGTACACTGCCAAGAAGCAATTAATATTTTGACTCAAGTGTTTATTGGATTGGATAAAAGAATGAAAAAATWAATAAAAATCCTCACATGAAAATGAATCAACAAACAGGGAATTTATTTACATTCTAAATAAAACATGGCTTTTATTAAAACAGTTGTGTCTCATTAATCCTCTTCTTGCAGATTTTGACACACCACTATAAGGTAATGCAAGACTTGATGAATTGACTATCTCATTAAAAGACAGCGCCCTGAGACCTGCCGCTTGCTGTTTCGCAGAAATAGAAACTGTGAAAATGTCATTTCTTTTTACAAAGGCAATCAACGCTCTAATGAACTTCATCTTTGTAAAAGCTTGGCAAACTGTCTATTTTATCACAGAGGTAAGAGTTATTGACTGGTAATCCATTTTTTATATAGTCTCCATGAGATTTGTTTTCTGGACAACTAATGCTTCTAATGAATGTGTTAATCTGGTGTTGCCAGCTTGGCTTTTTGTATTTGAAAATTCAAGTTATAATTCAGAAGAAAAATATTGTTTGAATTGGTTCACTGAGAGATATCAAGTAGTGCAAATCTAGATTTTGATTTTTATTTAAACGCTTTGCTAAGCAAAGCAAATGCCATTGAATTACAAAACACGCGGATGACATACTTGTTCTGAGGAGAGAAAAGGAAGACGGACCAGTCCTCTCTTGTCTCACACCAGTCCGGTCTGTATGCTTCTAACATCTTCTGGATGCGGAAGCACAAACTCTGTAAGGAAGGCACAAGTCAAAGCGTATGAAGACACACACACATCGAAGCATAAACACATAAATAAAGAGAAAGTGCTCCGTATTCATACTACTTACACAAGTGCAACATTTTTACTGCAACAGCTTGGAGCATCTCCCAACACTATTATCTGTACACCCCCACCCACCGAACCCCAACGCCCTTTGTCTAAATAGTCTGTTCTAATTAATCTCATTTTGTTTGTGCACAGACTTGTTTACACTGAAAGAAAATTAGATTCCTATGAGAACCAGGTGATAGTGAGAACATGTTTTACACAAAGTACATTAAGAAAAATCCTACACAGGAGAGCAAGAGATTATTATTTATGCAAAATGGTCCGGTTGTTGTTGCTGGTCCTGAAAACAGATTGTTTCCTTGTTGCCCCCAGTGATTTAGGGATGCTTGTCTAGATCAGTGGAATTGAAACTCCATACCATTAGGAAATAGAAAGCAATTAGTTTTAAAGTACTTCCCTGAAAAGACACAAAACGTGACTCACATATTCAATGTCATCATCCAGGTCCTCCTTGTCCTTGCTGCGTGCATTAACCTGGGGGAAGACATCACTTATCAGGTGGCTCTCTGGGTTCTCCCTTTTAGTCTGCTGCGTCTGCCGTCTCAAAGGCGGCTGTAGGTGAGACAGAGGGGTCTTCCCGTTGCAGTCCTGGTAAACTCTTTCTAAGTCGCTGCTGCTGCTAATAACCAGCCCCCCAGAGAGACTTTTTTTCCTGTGGTGCAGCAAGTGATGTGGATCTTGGGGTCCGGCTGGAACCTGCAGCACATGGGGGAGCTCCAGTGAAAGAGCTCTGCGGTCCCTATGAGGAGCAAAGCACCCGTGAATCTTCGGAGGGGGCAGCTGAAAACAGTGGGGAGCAACGGCAGGGGGAGCGAGTAGTGACTCCTCTTCATCTGGGTGGATGTGATGGAGGTGGTGATGCTGAGAGGATGAGGAGGCACGAGGACCGCGGATGCGCAGGCTTCCTCCGACGACCTGTCCGAACCCCCCGTGGCCATAGCCGTAGAAGGGCCTTGCGGTAGTGGGAGTGAAGCCGGGGCTGGTGGTGGGAGACGAGGAGGAGCAGGGGCGACCTCCCAGGCTACTCCAGCTGGAACGGCGGGCCCACAGGGGGTGAGGCTGGGGAGGGAGTGGGCGCCCCCAGTTGTGGTAACCTCGACCTGGATACTGAGAGAGAAAGCTTTTGATGCTTATACAAAAATCCAAACCACCCCTTTCATATTTTCTTCATCTGGTTTGTTCCACTTAATTGTCCTTTAGCTAAAATATGTCATTTTTGACCTACCATAGCCCTCTTCTCCAGGTCAGCCCTGCCCAGAGAAATGACACTATTCTTTCTTGAGCCAAGCGCGAAGGTCAATTTCTCTCCAGGAAACAGACCAGCAGGCAACATTGAAGGGTCTAGATGCCCATTCGGAGTCAGGGTACAAATCTTTGGGTCTGTCGAAGAAAGGAAAAGGTGGGGAAGCAAACAATACACGAACAATGGTGTTAAGAGTAGGTGAAGAGATAGAGAAAAACAGCTGTCAAAGGAAAAAGGATAGAGGATTAAACCCCATGCCTTCCTTTGTTTGTGTTTCCTCAGTTGCTGCCATGAAAATCGAACTCTCTCCATCACTATACACAATAAATGTCCTCAAACAACGTTATAGCCACCTCCAAGGGGCAAAGGAAGGTTTAATTTACAATAAATTGCCTTACAGAAGGCAGAGAGAAGCTCATAATAGTGAAACAAGGGGGTCTCTGACAGTGCTTTATCCATTTTTGACTGAATCTTTTGGTAGAATTGCTCTTTATGAACTTTACCGTTTCAAATGTGCTATCCTTTCACATAATTTGACTTTTAAAAGGCACATTTGGACTGAGGAGAACGGTGATCAGACATCCTCCAAYGCCTTCCTAACGTGTCGCTAAATGTGGCTCTGTACAGCTGGAGTCTAAAGCCGATTCTTTAAGTTTGTTCTTGCTCACTCAGCAGAGATGAGAGGAGACGAGCAGATGAAAAAAAGTGCACCGAGTATGCAGTAAATAAAGTGATGGGCTTATTTATCAACTCAGAAAGTAGTAATTAATGAAGTTTGGTGTGAACCTTTTGTGACTCGGATGCTTCAGATAAAAAAAAAAAAGATAAATCTTTGCGAAAGTGGAAAATAACAAGGAAAAAAACAAAACAAAATAAGCTGATTGTGATATTTTGTGCAAGCAAATTCAGGTACTTTTGAGTGAAGCGTTGAACTCTATGTGTCCTGATGCATTTCAGTAATCCAGGTAGAAAAATCTAACAGTTGAGTCAGGTTCTCTGGACAGGTTCTTCATTTTGTCTCTTCTCCAAGAGAAAGAGAAACCACCCATCGTTAAACAGGGGTGGAGCCCTCCATGTCCATTTCTCCCCCTCTTACAATGCTGTTATTAAGAGTATGACTCAGCCTTCTGTGAACAACAAGCTGCCAACAGGGCATCAATGATCGCTTGTTAAGCTGATGGTCCTATTTTGCGTGAAAAATTAGTTTTGGGTGTCACTGGTGACTGGTTGATCCACCATGTGAAAGTAATGCTGAGTTTACCTGCAACTTCTCAGACGTAAGAAGAACCCATCCTGGGGACTTGACTCAACTTTGTTAGACTACTCTACTCTGCTGAACTATTTCTGTTTTAAAACTAATGGATTACAAGGAGTGAAACAAGTTTGTCATCGTAAAATACTTCATCTACACGGTTTAAAAATGACAGCCATTATTCTGTCAAAATGGTTTTAAAGTTTCTGCGGTGAGAAATTAAAAAAAGTCTAAATAAATGCTGCAAAGCTGTTGGAGGCTTTGATACCTGAGAGGTGCAGGGAGTCTTTTTGCTTGTCGTTTTCCTCAAAATTACAGGAAGACCTGTCATCGTCCGAGTAGGAGCGGTTTGCATCGCCCTGTTAAAGCGACAGCGAGAGAAAACAAATGGATGAGAAGGGAAAATGACAGCGCCAGGAAACAAAAGGATTAAACAGACTGAAAAAAAACTGTTAAACGTGAGAAAATAATGAGCTAATACAAGACAATTCAAGTAGGAACTGTCAATCTTTTTGTAATTATCTATGGGACCAGTCCCAGCGGTACCAACTAGTTAAAACAGATCAAGCATGTGAGTCTACGGACAGAAAGCAAACAAAAGAGGGGAAAATCTAATGGCRGATTACTAGAAAAATAGCAGTGTGCACTGTGCTCAGTAAAGATAAAAAAAAACCTCACCTCAGCTTGGAAACCTTCAACTAAGATGGCAACCAGCAAATTAAAGAGCACATAGTTTCCAAACGTCATCAGAGCTACAAAGTAGAGAGCAGCAAAGGGAGAAGTGGACGCCATGCCGTTGTACAGCACCATGTTCCAGTCTTCCTGAGTCAGAATCTATGGCACAGTGGGGCATTGTTTGTTTTGCACGTGTGGAAACTTTCTTCATGAGCAAAATTTCTTTAGAAAGTGGGTGGAACGAATTAGTTTTATTACCTGGAAGACAGTGACGATGGCCCAAAGCAAGGAGTCAAAGTTCTTCCTGTCAGGTACCGTGTCTCCTGCCTCCGTCTTCAAACTGAACTTGCAGCCAAATATGTGCATCCCCAGGATGCTGAAAAAAAAAAGAAACATTTTCAACCTCCACTGAATTCATGACAGACATCTGGTCTCAATGTTATAATGACCATAGCAAGCTCAAACAGCATGMATTAGTAACTTAAACTCCTCATAACCCTTGATTCTTTCCACATTTTGTCATGTTACAACAAAATTCTAAATATTTTTACTGCAACAGGTCAAAACAATGTAGCACATAGCTGTAAAGTGGGAGCAGTGGTGGACAACATCTTCAGTGGCCTTACTTGGGTTAAAGTACCGAGTGTGAGTGAAATAATACAGTTTTCAACAATTTCACAGATGGAAATTTGAAAAGTGTGGCATACATTTGTATTTAACCCCTTCACTCTTACACCCCTAAACTAAATCTGGTCCTACCACCTCTTTTCAGCCATTAGAGTTTGTTTCTGTGTAGTTTAATCCCAGTATAATTACAGCTGTTCTGCACAGGCCTCAGAGGTTTGTTGCAATACATTAGTGATCAAACGGCATCATGAAGACCAAGCGACATGCACCAGACTTGCCAGGGATAAATTTGATGAGAAGCTAAGATTATTTTTTAAAGAACTGTACTCTGATGTATTATGTTTGGTAATTTTACTCTTATTTTTCCTCTAATAAGCAATAAAATTTCTGTTTGCGAAATTTGTTGTGTAACTAGTCTCACATGCCATATGTGGGCATTTGTTTATGTTACGGATAGACTGATGATACTGTAAGATATTTTATGCTCAGACTATTGTTTTTTTCAGTATGCTCAGATGCTATCTATAACCTTTGTTATTAGACTTTGACAGTGAAATGATCAATGCATATAAACATTCAACATTGTTTAAACAATTTGTGCACAACTAAAAAGACAATCACATGCTTCTCCTGTTCAGTGTTGTTATCACAGCCTCCATCCACTGGCAGTGTTTTATTCATTGTTTTTCTCTGTACTGTGATGCACCTGAAATCAGCATGCTACCTGAAAATGAAGATGAAGAGCATGAGCAGCATACAGAAGGTGGCCACATTGTCCATGGTCTTCATCAGCACGACAAGCTGCCGTCTCAGCGCAGGCATGAACCTCACCAGCTTAATGACCCTCAGCAGCCTGAATGTCCTCAGCACTGACAGACCGCCATCTGCCTGGCCGATGATCTCGCACACGCTGGGGTTGTGTGTTCCAGTGGGTAGTATGTGTGCACAAGAAGGTGGAAAATATGGTGAAATAATCAAGATTGGTCGGCAGAATAAAAATGTACATCAATGTGAGTTATGATATAAAAAAGAAGGCAATCATGGCTAGCCTGTTTATTTTAAAAGCCAATACAAGCATTTCAGCTACTCCTAGGATGCACATTCATTACATTTTTCAAAAAGGGTAAAATGCAAAATTCCTCATACACATTAGTTCAATTCAGTTCATTTAAATATCACAAGACAACATAAGAAGAAGATGAAACTTTTCTGAATGTGAAAGTTTTCAGGGCTGAGCTAAAGGGTGAATGGGGTGGCCATGATTCTAGAGGAGGCACATACAAAATAAATAAATAACACACTAGATTTGAAAATTCAACATGGCCTCCACAACTAATTTCAAATGTCTCTAATTCAATTGTTTAATAAATATTGAGCTAAAATTTTGTGTGATCACAATAACGAATGATCCTAAATAATTGCAAGTCAYAATTTCAAACTTACCACTAATGCTAATTTTACTAAGATACATATTTCAGTCATTTTTAAACAAACAAAAACGAAATTTAGTATGGTAGCAAACAATCTTTATCAAATTCTAAATACCAATCAAAAATTCTACATGCTTTTTTGCTCTAACTGCCCCTGTTTGAAATGCACATTATCCCCACCTCAGTTGTCAGTCATTTTGGGGTGGCCAATCAAGTTCCAGGGGTGGCAATTGCCACCCCGGCCACTCCTCTGGTTCCACCTCTGAATGTTTTTTTTTTCCTTTTACATTTTAGATTTTTATTAAATGCACAATATTTACCAATTACATCACTTGTTTGGACAAAAGCAACAGATGTAAATTTGGTAAATCACAAACCTGATGATGACAATGATGCCATCAAAGATGTTGTACGGGTTCCTCAAGTACTCAAAGAAGCCAAAAGCCGTGAGCTTCAGGAACATCTCCAGGGTGAACATGCTGGTGAAGACGATGTTACAGATCTCCAAGACGTTGGTCAGCTCCGCAGGCTTGGAGGTGGAGATGGTGCCAGTGAGAGGGGTTAGAAGAACAAAATGGCAAAAATCAAAACCAGCGATGGAGACGTAGTGTTTCACAAACTTTAAGGTATAAGTTACGAACATTTCTTGTTTAAATCTGATAAAAGAAAAATAAATGAGATAGATCCACTGTGGATAAAAATAAATAAATAAATAAAATCAATAACATAAAAAGACGAATGCACCACATTTCTCTGAGCTCAACGTGCATGCTGCCACTCAAACTGTCAGTTACGTTAATATAAAAACTCACCTTTACCTAGAATAAAACGGAAGATGTTTTCTAGCACATCTTTTATGCATAATACAAACTCACATGAGCACGGATAAAAAGAAATGGGGAAAAGTAGAGTGTTCATTATCTCTGTAGCGTATGAAACGCAGGCAGAACAGAAGAGCCTGGTATCTGGGACTTGGCATCAAACTGCATACRTATAACTGCATAAAGAGCTGCACAAACACACAAGTCCATGGGTTTATTTTCATATCGTATGTGTTTCTGCATGACAAGATTCACTTCGCGCCTCAATGTTGTGTTTGCACAATATGGATCAGATGCTTTCAATGATGCCCCCCTGTGAGTTTCAGTTTCAAAGCCAGCAGAGAAATAGCCAGCCCCTGCCAAAGTTAGCAAACCATGTCAGTGAGAAAAAAAAATCAGCCCTCCCTTTCTCTAATCCGCTTTTGCTTCCAATCTATCTCCATTCCCTCAGTTCTCCAGCCCCCCTCTTTTTTCTCCCTCTTTCTGAGTCTCATTATCAGGCTGACCCATCTCTTCCCAGTCAATATCCTCCCGTCGATCAGAGGAAGAAGAACAGAAAAGGAAGAGAGTGGATGAACGGGCCGGAAAAGGATGAGGAGATAATGGATAATGTAAAAAGAGGAGAAATGAGAAGAAAGAAAGGAGAAAATAAAACTATATTTGAAGACATGTTTGGCAGAGAAACATTCAGAAAACAATGGAAACCTCAGACAGAAGCTTGAATTTTGCCATTTCTTCATCTTCAAATGGAAAGATAGAAAAAAAAAACTATTAAACACCTATCAAAGCTTTCATGTCACATTTATAAACAAAAACACATTTTAAAATAAGGTTTTACGATCTCACATGATATTGTGAGATGTAATAAAATATGTTAACATGAAACTGTGTTATATAARACTCAGCTGTGACCACAACTTATTTCATTCTAGCCATTTTGTGTTGGCTCAGTTAGGTCCATCTCGAATTGGGTTGAGGGGTGTCCAGAAACAAGTTTTTCTCAAAGAGAGTATGGGTACTTCAGTTTGGGTACTTGCCCACACCGATACCAGTACCTAGGCCTGTCACCATAACAACTTGTGCTGGACCATAAATTGTCTCAGAAATTATTGCAATAACTGCTAATATTGTTTGGAGACCATTTTAAACTAATATAATAATAAAAATGGATTTATTGCTTATGGTGACAGGTCTATCAATACAAAATATTTAGAACTTAAAAGATACACAATGACATTAAAAACACAATTTTTATTTAGAACAGGGTGGCTTTCTTTTCATATAGGCCCTCTGACTGGATAAAAGTAATATTCAGCATGATATATACTGTAACATTTTAAAATATTTTTATTTCAACTTGTATACATTTCTTAAACATTGAACTCAAAAACCTTTCACGTTTCACTTACTCMATTGAATCGAGTAGTGATRCCAGTATCGATATCTGTTYCTGKTATTGGGGAACTTTGTACAAGTACTTGTAATAATGCTGATATCTGTATCGGAACACCACTGGCAGTCAACTCTGTAGCCATGCATAAAACTCATGATGTTTAGCTAACACAACAGACAAACAAATGCACAGACCCATGCACCCATCACACCACATATTCAAATGTAAGCACACATAAAAAAATAAAAAACTCAAACTTTACACCTGCTCTATCCTTGATATTTGTCCACAACTAATCCAGGCTCAAACACATGGTGGGAGATTTATTGCTATTGACAAATCTATCACAGCCCCCGACACCTCTATTTAATTCAGACAAAATACCACCATTACTCCCTCCTCAGTCTTTCTCCCTCCTCTGTGTGTTCCCTCTTCGTGCCCCATTACCTTTTTGCTCCCCATCTGTGGTTCTCTCCTTATCCTCTCACCATCTTTCCCCCGTGTCGCTTCTCACCTGTTTTTGAACTTTCCATTTCCTGAAAATGTTATGTGTAACCGTACAACAGAAGTTTCCTCCTGTTTTTCTTTAAACACATATGCTTAGTCAGCATGTTGATGCTTTTAAAATGACTGCATGACCTCCTGTAGCTCAGCATATAGGAAGTGTGTTTTCTAACTTAATAAATCATTAAAGCTGCTCAGAAGCAGTCCAGCATAAACGAGAGAGAGAGAGAGAGAGAGAGAGAGAGAGAGAGAGAGAGAGAGAGAGAGAGAGAGAGGAGAGAGAGAGAGAGAGAGAGAAACAAAGTCTTGCATGTTTAGACTAGCTGCTGTGATGTTACTTTACAAAATTACTTTAGTCTAGATAATATTACTGCTGCATTTATATCTGGTGGAGTTTATGCAGTCACCTAAACAACAGTATGTCAGTATGTATACTGTATGTAATATCTCAGCATAAATATATAGAAAAGAATAGAAAAACAACTTCATTGTCTTTTCCAACTGCTGGCACAAATTCTCTTTTGACAAGGGCTCCATCAACAAGCATCTCAGTAAATACAGATAAAATCACAAACATGTGAGTTTGTTGTTTAGTCTTATGTCCATACCATATTGTAAAGTTTTTTTTCCTTCCTAGTTTGAAAAAAAAAAAAATCTCCATCCGTTCTCAATGAAAATGATGCAAACAAAACATTAAACATACAAAACAAAATAACACTCAGGTATTGGCTAAAGGCAACAACTAAATAATTTTACATTTCCGAAAAGAACAATAGTTAATGATTACTTTATATTATTAATGTTTTGTTAATTTTTTTTATTTAGTTTACCTGTGACCCAAGGTACATTTTTTAAATATTATTGTGCTTAGAAATGGTTTCATGAAACAGCAGTTTTTTTGCACAGCAGGCTTTTATTAATCCTATCCTTTATTCTGTAGAAACTGTGCAGGAAATAAAGCCAAAAAGAAACAAAGATAAAGCACGTAAGGTCTCCACATATTGTACATGCCTACTTCCTCATGCAGACGCTCGTTTAAACGCAGCGAAACACAAGGAATCGATGTAAAATCTGTTGTGTAACTGCCGTCTGTCTTGCACCTCAGATCCCGCTCCGCTCCCCACCTCCCTCCGCCCCACAAACTTCCCTCCCCAACAGCCCCTCATTTATTTTTAGAGACTTCGGAGATGAGAGAGAGAGAGAAAGCAACTACTCTGTACACTGTCAGAGGGAGTGAGGGGGTGGATGACAGAGGGAGAAGTGGGGAGACAATGGGGGGTGTGGGGAGGGGGGGTAAAACTGAAGGAGGTAAAAAAGAGTCAGAGAGTAGATTAGGCACTTGGGGTAAAACAGGAAGGAAGGAAGGAAGACAATAAGGAGCAAAAGGATGAGAGAGGGAGGAAATGTGAGCGAAAAGGTATATAAAGAGGGTTAATGGAGGAAATAAAGGAGGCGAGGCAGAAATAAAATTAGAAAGGAAGGGAACAGCTAAAGAGAAAAGAATGGCAGATTCCAAGACAAGGGAATGAAGAGGAAATGAGCTGTCTTATGTAACAGCTTGTGAGTCTTTGTCTGCATGTGTTCCTGTTGGTGCATTAGCTCAAATTTTTTTTTAAAAAAGAAAGAAAAATAGATTTTGATCACGGCTCATACAGACCGGACAAAAATAATGTAAATAAATAAAAATTCTGCTTGAATGCGAGTTCCTGGCAGGCATCTCCCACTCGTGTTCACAGACACCTGCTTCGTCTGCTTCTGAAGCGCCCGGCCGGTGTTAAGAAGCCAGCTCTGTTTCATCTGCTGTTAGGCTAAATGTTTATACCTCTGTCAGGAAACCGTGTGGCACGGATGCTCCACTCCCACGCTCATCTGTGTGAATTTCATCTGCCATTATAATATTTCTTTCACGTTGATTTGTTGGAGTGAGAGGGGGTAGAGAGAGAGAGAGAGAGAGAGAGAAATGATCCCGCCAACACACTCTGTTGACACTGTATGCCAATCTAATTGACTGCAATGTTCCAAAACAATCAGTATCTCTGCTGGTTCACAGCTTTCAGAGTAAGTGCACAAATAAATAACAGTGTTGTCTCGAACACAAAGACAGACTCCAATGGAACCAAACATAAGGGGTCAAAAACTGAATATGGAGTGTGCATATCAGCACAATATGTGCATCAGCATGCACATACAGTCACCATAAAACAAGTAATATGCATTTGTTTAAAGCTTGCAAAACATAATACAATTGTATTATCTCTGCAATGTCAAAACTGCATCATTACTGCAATACTAACAAGTGCAATGTCGATATTTCAAAGGACCAATTTAATGTACTTTAATTTTGCTTAGTAGTCACACCCAAATTAGACRATAGTGGTCAAGATGTTAAAACACAGTGTTGTGAGAGTAATAATGGAACAGAAAGAGGAAGTGCAGAAAATATGTTCGTGCAATTACTCTGTACAATTTTTTAACTCTCTTCTTGTGCTTCCATCAAACTTGACAATTTAAAAGGGAACAATCCTTTTTCACAATTAGGTCATTTAGTTGTTGAAAGATTTTCAGGCGCCCCAATGCGTTCAACATGAATTCGTACTCGGGAGAGCTTTCTTGYCGTCTCAACTTCTTTTTGCAACAACTGCTTTTTAGCTCTTGTAAAAGGAGGCACTGCTATTGAGGCCCCATAACCAGCAAGTTCTTCAGATATTAAAATAACTCTGTCTGCTCTGAGTCTCCATATTCAAGTTTGTTTAAAAAGCCAGACTTATCTGATACTCTGCCACCCCATGCTTGAGAGGCAAAGCTTGTCGTACCATATGGTGTCATGCCAACTAAAAACTTGATTGTGTTGTGGCTTTTGTAGTTCGAGTATGCAGTTTKATGAGTGTCTAAATTTGTTGGTCGCTGAATAAATATTTTTGTACAATCAATGATAACTCTACATTTTTTGTATTGATATCAAAAACAGCTAGGCAAGTTTTTAAGTGTCTTGGCTTTATTGGGCCACTCAAACAAAAATTTATGGTTTTCAGAAATGATAGGCAGACACTTTTAAAATATTTTTGGAAATATGTGTACGACAAATTTTAAACCAAAGGGCTAGGTCAGCATTTGTCAAAAAAAGCCTTAATTTCATCAACGCCAAAAGAAGTTGATCACCAGGGCATATTTTTCCAGCAGGTTTTAGAAACACTGAAATAAGCAATAACTCCCACAGAAAAACAGCAGATGATTTCAGACCATTAAGTGTCCTTATCTGTGCATTGTCCAAGTTTGTGTACCTAAATTGTCCCTTTTGTACACTGTCCCTCACTTCCTAGTTTTTTAGAAAACAGTCGCTTGTTTTCAGCCTGAAGACCATTGTGTGATTCCTGCAGTTCTGTGTATTGGATTCTTAGAGCACTCAGTTGTAACTCTAAGGGATCTGGATCTGGATCAGTTCCTGAAAACATATTTTTWAAAAATGGTATATTGTTTATAGCACATATATGTACTTATAATGCTCTAAAATTTCTAGCTTTGGAATAAAGAAATTTTCCTTTTCAAATTTTACCTTTGTCACAATATGGTTGATTTTGATGATCCAGGGGTGAATCTACTGGTGGCTAGACATCTTCATTTATAGCTTGGGGATGTCTCCCAGTGCTCAACGCTTCATATACCTCTCATATCAACCATTAGCATGTCTGGAAAATTTRTCCAATGGTGTGAAGCTAAATATGGAGTGAATGTAGACACGGTTCTTTGGATTATCAGATGGCTGGCCTGAACA